TGAGCCCCGCAAGCCCCTGTGGGGCAGGCCCTGCTACCCGGCTCGACGGTGGCACAGGAGCGTTCCTGCTCCCCAGCACGGCTCCAGGGCTGGGCACAGGGACTTGCAAGGCGATCGGTCTGCCCTCGAGCTGAAACAGGACTTGTGGAGGGCAACCGAAGAGAGAGGGTGCCCTTTCCTGGGTGCTCCAGGGTTCGGGGCACACTCAGCCTTTCGCTTTCCAGGTCAGCGAGCACTCGCTGGAGCTGCACAGAGAAATCCTGCTGCACCTGAACACGGGGTACGATACCCAGCTGATGGCAGCTGCCTCTCTTGTTCCCAGCACGAAACAGCCAGGGCGCTTCCCCGCCGTGCTCAGCCCTTTCTGACACTGAAAGCTTTGAATTTTCCTGGTCGTGGGGGCAGCTTTTTACTGGCAAGAAGGGGAGGGAGGGAACGAGCACAGAATCTCAAAATTGGCAAATCTGTTGGCAGCTGGGAGAGTGTTAACGCAGCAGTGGGCTGCAGAGGATTCACCAGCCGAACTCGCTGCATTTGAGGGACGGTTTTTAAAGAATGCACGTAGCTACCTTGGGAAAGATACCTGGGATGTGTTGTTACTAGTACATCCGATAACTATAACATTTAGCCCTTAACGAATGTTCCTGCCTTCCCTACTGCTCTGGTCTGCTTCCCAGAGTCGACCCGTGCATTGTTTAAACTTCTCATACCATCATGACGCCGTCGAGCAGTCCCAGCTCCGCCTTGGGCGCTGACTGCAGCCGCTCCATGGACCACTTCTCGATGATGGAGGACACGTGCGGGTTCTCCACGTTGAGGATCCGGAAGCCGGTCAGGTTCACTCCAGAGTAGCGATATGGTTCTAGGTCTAATGCATAAAGATCCTTAAAAGAGAGAAACCAGTTTAAACATTTTGTTTAGCTTTGGGTTTTTTTGTGTCTTTTCTGCATCGGTTCGTATCTGTGTTTGAAGTGAGAAGGCAGAGCCCACAGAAGGTGGGAGGCAGGACAATGGCCTCATGAATTTGGCGGATTGTGCTGTCTGTTGCCATCAGTCACCGCTTGCAGAGACTCGTAGGCGTTAGTGGAATTCGGGTGTCGTTTGTGCAGGTTTGCCCACACACCGCAGAGGGAAACTCCTGCCAAAGAGCTCACTGTCTGCATGTAAGAGGCAAGTGAATTGTGGGGAGAAAACCAGAATCGCTATCTGTAACCGTGAAAAAAGAGGCTCGCGACCGAGGGAGAGGGGACAAGGCAGAGTTCCTGCATCCGAAGCTCCCCGGGGCCTTTCCACGGAGGATTTGCTGTGGGGGGTGAAGCCCACGGGGCGCTGCGGGTGACAGAGCAGCTCTGAATGCAGAATGCCAATTTGCAGACGGCTATCAAAGAGGAGCTAAGACGCATTTCTTGACATTACGACCAGCCTACACAGTCTGCAAATGAATGAGAGTGCCCTTTATACGATGTAAAAAAACCCCAGCCAGGCAAGCCCTCGGCTCTGCTGGCAGCCAGCCCACGAGCATCACTTGGCAGGCAGCGAGAGGGGCACTTCTTTAATGCATCTCCTGGCTCCGCCGCACGTCTAAATATTAACTTCAGGGATTAACTTCAGTGCTCAGTAACTAGTCTGAGTAGTTTTGCGTTAGACAACATGGCAAGAACCTACCGCAGCTGATCTGCTCAGCAAAAACCCAGGGCAGCTGAGCCGAGGGGGATCGTGAACGAATGTGGTGGAGAATGGCAGCTGGGAGGGGGCTTCGTTCACAGGAATCAGTTGTTGGATGAGGCATATTTAATCGGAGTTTAACCAGAACAATTTCTGCAAGTGTTCAACGGTAGTAAAAATGTGGGGACGCGGAAAGGCACCGCCACTGTCATCTGTGATAGAGGGTGGGGGGATGAATACGGGAACGATGTTCATTGCTTTCACAAGGGATTATGAAAAAGAGTTTAAATACAGCATGAGATTACGTGGCTGTTGCTGTTTTGTACGATGTGGCTATTCTGGTAGGACGCAGCCACGCCGTGGGTTCTGCCCATGGGGGAGCTGGAAAAGCACTGGTCCTAAAACACACTGCCCTAAGCAATGCGTAACAAAATCAGCACTTGCCAGCAACTGAGACTTCATTCTCGGTGGGAGAGCAAGGAATTCTTACAGCTGTTTTGCTTTAATAAGCTTTGGGGGTTTGATCATTTCCTTAAGCGCTGGCCTCTGACTTCGCACCCCCAAGGCACACTGCTGATGGATGCTGTGCTTTAATCTGCAGGTGCAGCCAGGGACCGAGTCATTAATCACACCCACAACAGAGTTCAGGGTCTTTCTTGTTGGGGTTTTTTTTCCCTGAAAAATTGCAAGTACAAACCTCCACATGTTGTTAAAGGGCATTGTGAAAACCAGGCCATAATGTTGACTTTTAAATGACTTATGGTAACTAAGGGCAAATGCAGTTGCTTAACCTCTGACAGATGCTTATATCTTCTGGATGTGAGGGTGTGCAGCGGTCGTGTGCCTGACTCACTGGAATAGATTTATTTTCTCAGGATTCATACCTTTTTGTCAGACATTTCAGTTTGTATTCTGCAAATCGTTGTGGGGAAATAATTTTTCATTGCAAAAGCAGATCATTTCCCCCTCAGAATGTGACATATGTGACAAATCTGATCCACCGAGCTCCGGACCTCATGGTCTCCATGGCACAGCTGTCAGACTGCCAGCCCTGGCACCGCTCAGATCCTACGGGTATTTTGGGTGCCATCCCCGTCCTGCCACTCTCCACTGACCCTTCACCACGTTCCTACAGAAGCCAACCTCCCATCAGGTCCCTTCTTGGTTCCAGTTTAAATCTCAGCTGCAACCTGATTTATCATCTCCTGGAATTAGAGGATAATTAAGAATACGAGCTGAGTGTCAGAACACAGAGAGGTGAGGGGGGGGAATTGCCGTATCCGTTTCTTCTGGATTTTCTGCTCCTGCACAGCCACAAATCGAAACATCTGGTTCTATTTTCCACCTCATCTACACTCCCTTTCACTCATTATCCTCTGTACTGCAGATGAATTCTCCCCTCCATCGTACTACCTTTAAGAAAGTTTTATTCTCGGTGTTTCTGTGCGGCTCTTCCCCTTTCTTACATGTGCTCTCCCAGCTCCCCAGCTTTGGTTCATCAGCTGCATGTGGCGATGCTGAGGGCTGATCCTCACCAGACCTAGCATCCGCAGCAGGAACCTGCAAAAGCGGGTGTCCAGGAAGGGCGTCCTCCGCCTGCTCTTGTGCAAAACGACTCCTGGGTCATGTGCCTGCCACAGATTGCCGAGGATCCCTGTCTGGGCACGGGTTTGCTCGGGCAGCTGTCACTGGGAGGAGCGGCCACGGCTGTAATGGGAGGCGTACACGTCCAGCGCGGTTTGGATAACCACCTCTGACGTACGCACTCACGAGTACACGTGTGTCGCGTCCTGAGCCGCACGCAGGTACATTGAGTTGAACAAAAGTACCTGATTATCAGCGCCAGTGGAAAAGCAGACTGGTTTGGCTTAGCGCCTCATCAGGAGAAGGCAGGTTGGGTGTGTAATTTTTGTTTACGTTGACTCGAAGCATGGGAAGAGATTCCTGCTTCTGCCTGTCTGCGACAGCTGTAAGCAGCAGAAGTGAGAGCAGGCGGTGGGGAAACTTCTGTATTTGCAAGGACTCATTTTTACAAGCTGCTGAGAAATTCCTAGAAGTGTTGAGTTTAAGGGGGTTGTCACTGCTTGGGACTTTGCAGGATGTAAAAGCTGGGCATGCGTTAGAGGCTCCGAAGAGTTCCCCCTCCTCTGGTAGAGAAGGCTGGTGGGGCTCTTCATGCCGAAGCCAGTGAACTGTAGTCTTGCTGCCTAGCAAAATGTTGAAGCATTTCATGCCAAGTGTTGATACACGGTACTCAGTATTGACTAGGGACCTTTTAGAAACATTCAGTATAACATAATAGACTAATTCATTAGCACCCCATGGGTCTAGTACTGTAGAAGCTGAAGCACATGCATTGCAAGCTAGGAAAACATTGCCTTAAGGAATGACAGATTAAAATATCTTTCCCATGATATAACTGTTATTTCAGGAAAGTGGCATTAATTGTGATTGCTTATCTATTAATTTATTATAATTCTTCTTTTCCCACCTCCAGGCTGTACCTACACATGAAATGTACTCTAGGCTCAGCTGGGGCTGAATAATAGGAGGTTATCTGGGAAATGCTTAAAGCTGCCTGGAATAGATAATGGCAGCAGGGGTAATTAAAATGTCTTTTGCATTTGAAAAATAAATTTTGCCGTTTTTAAGGGTTAGTTTAGTCTGCTTCTTTCCTGAAGGCAAAAGGATAAATTGGATTTTCAAAATCACACAAAATTCAACAGTATGCTAGACAATAGCATCCTAAATGGAAACAAAAGTGGCATGCCAAAAAACCCAAACCAAAATGCTTCCTGGAGTCAGAGAAGAACTGGCCCGTGTTTAATGAGGGTGGAGTTCATTTCAAGCTGAGTTCTTCTCATGCAAAATAAACCTGCAGTACTGAACTATGGACCACAGCAGGGCAGCTCCAGCTTTTAAGGGAGACCTAGATGAACACACAGAAACACATACCCAGTTCTGACTGAAACTCGGTGCCATTAAATCCTGTCCGTGGGACTACAGCTTCCCAAATTCACACATACGCTCATCTTTCAGCGCATGGGTAGCTGCACTGAAATCAAAATGACTGGGAGGGGAAATAAAAACAGAACCTGCATCTGTGCAAAGCTGGAGCAGCTCCAAAGGAGTGAGCCAGTCCAAAAGCAGCGAAAGAAAAGACCACCGTCTCTCAGAATGAGCACCCGGGCAATGCCGCAGTTGCAGAGATGTTAAAACCAAATCATTGTGGTCTGCTTCTAACCTGAGGCTAAGTCTAGCCCTGCTCTCACCTTCTTGGTAGGGCACCAGACCTCCCTTTCCCTTGCTTTTCCCACCCCACCGTTTTTGAGTCCTCCAGCTGTGCAATGCACACCCAGGACAGGACACCCAGCCCGCTCTCCTGCCGCTTAAACCACCTCCTCAACCGCCTCCTCACTTTCCATTCCAGCTCAGCAGTGAGTGTCAAAGGTGTTTGCACAGATTAGATACTTTACCAGAGTGGTGAAGATGAAGTGGTAGTATTCTGTCATCATTCCCATTGCCATGGCC